TGGCTTGTCATGATTCCAATTTGAACATGAAGGTCAGTTCTGGAACCCAGAATAATTCCACCCCAAACGAGCACTCCTACACCACCGTAACGGTGTCGTTCAATGATGCTTTCTTGGTGGTAACGAATACCTGGAGCTCTCCATATGAAAGTCCGGCGAGAATCAGACTGCAAGCTAAACCTGGACTCGTCGGAAAACATCACACAAGCCCACTGTTGCGGTGTCCACAGTGCATGCTCTCTACTCCAGGCTAACCGCAGGCGACAGTGAGTTGCAGTAAGTGGAACGCATCTGACAGGTCTACGAACATATAAACCAATCTGCCCTAAGCGTCTGTACACGGTCTGCCTTGAAATTGTCGTACCAGTGGCTGACGAGGCAGGTCTCAGGCTGTGCTCCACCTGTTTGTTTTGGCAGTAACTGCCAAATACCGGTCCTTATTCGGCGCTGTAACTCTGGGGCGACCTGTGCTGTAACGTCTACTCACATTACCATCATCTTGGAATCGTTGCCAAAGCCTGGAGATGACACTCTGGGCGATTCCAAGTTTGTCTGATACTTCCAGTTGGTTATGCCCACATTCTAGACGGCCGATAATTCTACCACGTCAAAATCATCCAAATGTGCCTTTTGTGTCGTAACTATTCGGTTATTGCACTGAAGTGCTTATAAAGCACCCGCGAACAATTTTACTTCTTTGCCTGTATTCCTTATATATCACTCTCTTACACTCTTGTCATTGTGACTTACCATCGGTGTCATCTGGTTACTTCCTGAAATTTGCATATGATTCTTGAAGATGTGTGTAGTAATTTTACAGGTGATATATTTATTTTAGAGTTCGATTTCCGCGTGGCTCCGAATTATCCTTAATTTATGGACATGGGTGTATTACGATACCTGTAGTCAATATGTCTCTTTAAGGCCATTTCACTTTTTTGCGATCTCTGTGTGCTGGGGATGCTCTTTATATTCACTTTTTTGCCTCAGTAGCACATTCCCCATCCTAGAGCCAACACAAATAAACCACTTATATTCCTGTTAGCAGACCTGCAAGATCATTTTAATATCCTTCCTTAAGTTTCACAGAATGAGCAACTAAACTGATTGCTATTATACAGCAGCACACATTTTCAAACTTCTGGTCCTATCAGTAAAAAGCCTGTATTCTTCTGCTTCATATTCTATATCCACGTTAAAAAAAAGACTGGTGAATACTATTGCAATGTACGTGTTTTCTACACTCACTAATGTATAGAAGTTCATTCTTTTTGTTCTGTAAGCTATTATCTTAATACTAGGTTCACAGAACTGTTTTGGTGTTGATAAACTACTTCTGCATTTACTTTCACTGTTGTTAAAATCAGATTTCTGTGTATCTTCATCTGATGAAAGAATATCAGGCAGTGAAACTTGGTATAGAAATGCCCTCACAGTGTGGCGTAGTCATCTTCCTGATTCCAAATCAGGGCATTCCTACTTACTTTTCTTGTAATGCCTTTCACATTCACGAGATAAATAGCAGTTATTATGGCAATTCACCAATTCTCTCTATAACACACCAGACTTCTAACAACACAATGTTTTTAAATACTATGCAGGTATTCACAAACTTTGTGAGGAATGCAAGGCTTATTTTGGTTGCCATGTTTTTTTATAAGTATTTATAAAATAAATAAAAAAAAAGTTTTTATAAAATAAGTAAGGTGAACTTCCTATGTCTGAGAATTTTAGAAAATCATTTACATATATCAGGTATATTAATGGAACTGTTTCCGAACTCTGGCATAGATCAGATGGAGGTTTAAGGTGAAAACTCATGTTACTAAAAGCCTGTCTATATAAAGAAATATCTCCCAATTAGTATCTCTAGACATCTATGCCAGTCTCTTCACACAGAGAAACATATCGTTGGCATGTCAGATACATGTACAGTGGAACCTTGAGATATGAGTTAATTCGTTCTAGCATTGAGCTCGTATAGCGAATTTCTTGTATCTAGAAACAAACTTCCCCATTGAAAATAATGGAAATCCAGTTAATTCATTCTGCATTCCCATAAATATCAACATAAAAATCAATTTTTATAATAAATAACATAACCGTAGTTTACCTTTATGATAGCTTCTGACACCGACCTTTTAACTGCTTCTTGTTAATCCACATCAACAACAGCTTCTCAACATCTTCTAGTTTTAGATGGTGCTTGGAAGTAATGGTAACTCCTTTGGCTACATCAAGTTTCTTAATTTTTTCAGAATAGCGCAAATCGTCACTGTCGAAAGGGCATAAGTCTTTGCCAATTCCGTCACTCTTACACCACGCTTGTTTATCTATGATTTCTTTCTTAATTTCAATGGCCATGGCTTCTTTATTTTTCTTTTCAGCACTATCTGAGGCAACAGTTATCTTGGGAGGCATAGTGAAATAATTATTTTCATGTTAAATGTAATAAACAATTGACTCGCAAGCGCACAGACATGTAGATCAAAGAACACCAAGTGATCTGACGGGGGGGGGGATTCCCTAAGTTGAGCCAGATTAGAAAATGGTGCCATGCATACCAGCAACCTGGCTCGTTACTCGAGTCAGTGCTCATATCTCGAGGTTCCACTGTATGCAACATCTGTGCCAGGTGTGGTGTTCACTGACCATTTAGGAATACATTATCACTGGAGACATATTAGGCAACAGCCAGTAAAACTGCATATGGAAATCATGCTTTTGAAATTAATACTGGCTACTAAATCAACATTTTGCTTCCCTAAATAATATATATCACGAATTATTTGGAGTTTATATTACTGTTCTAACAAATTTAATTTACAATGCCACATTTATTTTAGATCGTAATTTCCGATGTATTTCTTTATAAATGATACATTATTTTGGTTCTTACATGTCAAATGCACCCAATTGGGGAATATAGTCACATTTTATTTTCTGGTAGAAAATTCATAGCAACTGATTGTCTTTAGGACAACATCGTACATATCACTTGCAGTGTGCCTTTTCCTCAAGAGAAACTCTGCTATATAGGACTCAAGGTAAGGGCGAGCTGTTCCATGGTGCTTTTTATTTTGCCATTTAGCCCTTCCCCATATGTATTCTATATTTTGCATGTGTCTGCCAATTTCAGAATTCATAAATTTACATTTGTGATTTACTTCAGTGGATATACCTAGATTGTTTAAGTTCTGTTTTATACTACTTCCAACACTCAGAAAAATGGTCATTCCTTCTTTAATGTTCATTTTAATTTTGTTCATTATTACTGTAAGGGCACTAATCAGGGACCATTTTAAGAAATGTTTTGCTCATTTTACAACAAATGCCCCAAAAAATCAACTGTGGAAGCTTTTCCAGCATTGCTTTTGGGTCATGCAAACATGCTTTCGTCAATCTCCACAATGCATCTGACACCACTCATTTTCTCCTGCTGCTGCCATTTCAAAATTGCAGATTTCCTGGAGATAACTGTTCCAGTCAATTACTGTTTTGTTGGCTATTCCTAGTTGTTTTTTGCAGAACTTGACCAATGTTAGTTCGTCACATCAGTATATATGAAACATAAAGCTGTTGTGAATGTCGTTTGACTTCCTTTGAACCAGTTCCCTATACATATTCTAATACTTTTTCAGCATGTACGGATGTTAAATTTCCAAAAAATGCGATCTTCATTTGTTTATAGCTTCATCAAGTGCAAAAGTTTGCATTCTCGATTGTTCGGTAATATGTCGTAATTCTGCAAATAGTGAACTGCCCCCGTTTCATTTCGAGGTAAGCTCCAGAGATCCATGTAACTCAAAAGTAAGGTACAAATTTTCTTTGACTTTAAATTTTAAATGATTAGATAACTATCTAATAAACGACTATCCAATCGAACTACATGAAAACATGGAAATGTTTAAAATAGTATGGGTTGCCATATTTGATGATTAATCCTTGAGGTGCAGTTTACACTAAAGAACCAATACTTTTTTTACCTTAATTCAAGTGATATTTTTAGTCAACACAGTGATAATTTTTTTGTCTCATTTCTTAGCATTAGGTAAATTTGGTAGAATATTTTTTGCTATATTTTTATGTTCTGAAAAATCTAACAAACAAGAAAAGCTTAATTTATCATCTGTACTTCCTATTATCACTAGTGTTGTTTCAACTTTTAGATAGGTCTACGTGCTCAATTGATTAACAATTAAGAGCTAAATTTTGTGTGAAACGTTAGAATTCAGTTAAGCTGTTTTCTGATTTTTCCATTAAAAATAAATATTTTTATTGTTTATGTAATTAAAAGACTTAATTATGTTAACATAAAAACTACTAAAATTTTTAAATGTAACATTTAGTTGTTTTATGTTATTTTATTTTAGTATATAAAATTTTATATCAGTTATATAAATATAATTAACAAAAATTTTCCACCTCACTTAAAATCACGCTTTATTATAAATTTAATCATAAGCAATGTATGCTATAATTTATGAAGGGATCAATTTATTTTCGTTTATGTAAATGCATGGTAATATATATACACATATTTATATGTTACATTTCTCAATTAAATGCTTTCCTTTTGTGCCTCATTAATTATTCTTAGTTTACAATTTGTATTTATTTTTCGTATTTTGCATTCCTAATCACTGTTACTTTTTGTCTGATATTAAGCTTTCTGTTTATTATTACTATTATTGTCATTACAAATTATTTTTAAAATTAAGTTTTGAAAATAAAGGCATTTAAACTTTGCAAATTATTATGCTCGTGTTCAGACCAATAGAGATCTCCTATTAGCTACAAGTCACATCATCAGCTTCGGCTGCTTTGATTCACTTAGTAACTCAAATCAGACACAAAATTACCCTATGTAGACAAAATACTGTCAGGCAATATGTTAAAGTGCTGAGCAATTTTTACCGACTGTAATTTACCAAAGTTTGGGAAACACTGTCTTACATTGTTAAAAACAATTAAAAAAATTTTTTTTTCTGATTTTTCAGAGCAAATTAAGGTTATTGAGTATAATTCAGAAAATATGGAAAGAAGTTCTCGAAATCCAAATCCTTATATCATGAAGCAGCGACTTAAAATTCCAGGATATGTCAGAAAATAAATATTCTGTGTTCATCTGTATATTTCAAGTATGTTTTAAATGTATTCCTGTTGAAGGTTCTAAGAAAGGCATTTTATCAGCACATTCAGTGACCCAACAGTTTAGTGCAAAAATTAATGTATTCATTGCATCTGCATTTGGTAATTACATTTCTAATGAGAGATTTCAGTCATTTTCACAACTTTAATCAAAATCTCAGACTGCAGAATCTATCGCTAGATCTGTTTCTTTTGACTTGATTCTTTAAAAGTGTTATGCAGTATTTTGCTGTCTAGTACATTTTCTGGTTATGCAATGTGCAAACAAATGATTGTAAAGATTATAAAAAGCTGCTGCTGTGATAAAATAATTGTGAAAAGATTACTCTAAAAATGCAGTTTAATTTATATCATAATGAAAGATGAGTAAATCTAATGCCCAAATCTTCTTGTTAATTTCATGTTACTGCTGTAGAGTGAAGTTGCAACACTATGAAGGACATAAATTACAATGCAAATATGTATAGGAGTGATGATATATCACACTAAGTAGAAAGATTCAGTCAATAAACCCAGATATCAAAAGAAATGAGTTAAATTCAGATATCAGTGCTCATTCAGCTGACCATCAGTTTGCCAAATCTCTGGTTGATTTGATAACTTTTTCTTAGTGTTGCAATTTCAACCAAATCACTTATTTTATTACTCTAATATATCATTTGTTAATTACATAAGTTGATTTTAATGTAAATGTCAGTATTGCATTCTAAATCCATTACAATTAATATATTTGTAGACTATAACAGTAATTCATGATTCTGTGTCATAGAGCTATTTTGATAATAACTGTTCTGAAATTATTTTGTATAAAATTTTTACAAAAATTATCAGTATACTTATGATATAAAAGATAAATTATTTTTCATATGTAAATATATATAAAGTGCTGATATTTTTTTAATTTTAAGTTCATAATAATAAGATTGTGAACTTTTAAATACTGATCGTTTAAAGCTGATTTAGGTTAAAACTTCTGAATATATAAATTTTAAACAATAACTACTTTCTAGTGCCATGATATATATAGATTTACATTCCAGTCTGTTCTGTGTTTCAGCTAGTCTTTTATTAATTTGTTGATGTTTGATGTTATCTTGATGTTTTTACTCTGTACTGTGATAGTTGTTATCAAACATATTTTGATGAAAATTGTATACAGTATTTTTAAATAAATTTATAAATAAAATATTTTGTATGCTTTAAATATGAAGTATGTATGCTTAATATTGGGAAAGATGCATATTTTTTGCCTTGTTTGTTAGATACATTAACATACATAGGTGCAATATGGGTTTTAATATTTATTTGTTGTTAGAAGCTATTAAAATTTTTAGTTTAGTTTCTATTTCAGCAGAAATTAGAGTATATTAATTACATCATCTCAAACTATTTACATACATTGATTGATATTATAAATATTATTAATGTACTTTTATTTATTGTCTGTATCAGTGTTACATTGATAGCAATAGCCTATATATAATTCATAAATATTTTAGTTCTTATCTTTGATTTTTCTTATAGTTGCATGCAGAAACTGAACATTAAGATATGTTAAATCTGATTATATGCGCCATTCTGAACAAGACAGGATTGTTTCGATGTTGTTTATAAGCATTTTAGGGTGGTGGGAGGGAATTCTCAAACTGTAAAATATATTTTGGTTAATCATAACCTCTAAACAAATTTCTATTAATTCTTATATTGTTTGACAGAACAACATGTATATGCTGGATGTGGCATTCGCATATAGTGCATTATTTAAACTGTTGTGTATGTGTGAAATTTCACATTCGGTAATGGTCTCGAAAAGGATTTAGATATATGTTGTGGACAGTAATGTTCTGAATCTCAGTTATATAAAGTTTTGTTAAAAATTATTTTCAAGTTTAAAAATTTTATGTACAAAGCTGTATCGATGTCCTAGTATATAAAATATTTCTATCCTGTCTTTGTCAAATTATCTCATCAGTTATCCTCTTCAGCTGATGATAATCTTTTCAGACAAGACTTGAAATGAGGTGATGCTTGGTCCCCCCCCCCAATCCAGGCTTTTACATTTGCATGCCAAGGTGCTGGTTTGATGTTGAGAGACTAGATGGTGTAATTTTGATGACCATCACAAAAATTTATGAATTATAAAACTATGAATATCTTTTATTATTTAGTTTCTGTTGACTGCAAAACTTGATAGCTGATTTTGTTGTAGTTCATGACTAGTATCAACATGAGCTCAGTTTTAGCTTTATTGCACTTGAAAAGAATTCTCTTTATCCAAGTAACTATTTTAGTAAAATCTTTCTGAGTTAGTTGGCTAAAATCAATCGACAACTATACAGGAGTCCTGAGCATTTCGCAATATATCGAGCATGAATTAACAGTTGTACTTCATAAGCAATTTAAAAAACCACCAAACATTTAAAAGTTTTAGTGGTTTTTAAATTTACTACTTAAATTTTTTTTTCAGTAAGAAAGTTCAATACCTACAAGATTATTTACGAGCTAACAAATTTTTTTTATTTAATTGATTTGTACACCAATATATCAAATCGTGTATTCCCTTCTTCCCTAGGTTGTAAATGGCACATTAATTTCTAAAACTGCCTAAAATTTTCTGTCACAAAAATAGAGAATGACTATCCCATGGCATCTAACAAACAAAGCAAAATGACTTACTGAACTGCATGGTTACAAGTGATCTGATAAATGTGATAGCATGGGAAAACAAGGGAACAAGGATCTACAAGCAGATCTTTTAAAATTATTTCATTTTATTTTTATATTACTACATTTGTTTGTAATGTAAATATCAACATCACATTATAAAATTATTGCAATTACTCTCCAAGCGGCCAAGGGTTTGATCACAAATTTTTAAAGTTCCCCAAAAGATCATGAATATTTTCTTGATTATAAGTCCAAAATGACCTTCCAAATTTATACCTGATAACTTCCACAAATACGAGGGCCATCCAGGAAGTAGATTACGTTTCCGTCTGTGTCCGCTAGGGGCGGGGCTAGCGCGGCCATCTTGGGGTCAGAGCGTTGCGCAGCTCAGTCTGCATCTAGCCGTGCTAGTGAAAGGTTTGTGCTGTGCTCCGTTCAGATACTGTGACGGTTTGAAATGTCTGCGTTAATTGAAAATCTGCGAGGTGCGCTCAGTAATAAGGTTTCTGACTGCAAAAAACTGTAAACCGATAGAAATCTATCGGCAGCTTCGTGAAGTGTATGGGGACAAAATTATCACTGAAGGTGGAGTGCGTCAGTGGGTCATAAGATTTCAAAATGGCCGAACCAATGTTCACGACGAAGATTGAAGTGGGAGACCCAGCATAGTGACCGCCGAACTTCTCGAAAAAGTCGATGCCTAAAGTCCGTGAAAATCGAAATTTCACAATAACGGAACTTTCTTTGAGTTTTCCACAAATTTCGCGAAGTTTGTTGCACGAAATCATCAGCGAAAAGCTTGGTTACCACAAGTTTTGTGCAAGATGGAAGGCAAGAAGAGGTAACGAAGTGGTTGAAGGCGCAGGCGGCCGAATTTTTCGAGGAAGGAATTTCCAAGCTCGTACATCGCTACGATAAATGCCTTAATTTGTATGGTGACTATGTAGAAAAGTAGTATTTGAGTGTGGCTTTCATCTGTATATAATAAAATTTGTTTCCTATACTTTGTTTATTTTTTTATTCCAAAACGTAATCTACTTTCTGGATAGCCCTCGTATATGCCACTTTAATTTTCTGAACGCATTTCAAAATGTACGACTGTACTTAAATATCAGGACTAATAGTTTTGAGCATAGAGGCTTAAATACTAATCAAGTGCAAATGTTTTTAAACTATAAAAGTTCCTAATACCTAGATCATGAGCTTGACAATTCGAGTCGATTTTGATTAAAACTTCTGAGTACATAAATTACGAAGAAAATTAATTACTAGTGCCATGTATTCCAGTATGGTTTGTGTTTAAACTAGCATTTTATTAATGTATTATCTTGATGTTTTTACCATGTACTGTAATTGTTGTTATTCACAATTGTATACAGTTTTGAATGTTTAAATAAATTACTTCATTCATAAATTTAAATGTGAATTATATAATATTGGGAAATATTGCTTTTACTTTAGTTGTTAAATATATTTACATGTATATATATAATAGATAAAATATATATTTTAATATTCTTAATTACAAAGAAAATTTTGTGAGCTACATGTAGCTCACAAAAGATTTGTAAAATCTAAAGTATCACATCAGAAACAAAATTATTTGCATACATTCACTACAGTATCTATAATCTACATATGAATCTTTCATAAGTTAAAATGCATCTCTGCATGTCTGACTGCAAAACCTTCAGTACTCATTTTACAGTGTTTTAGTCACAGATATGTAAAAAACTTAAATCACAGCCTTAATTTGTCCTCGTAGGCTTTTAGCAAACTTTGATTCTTTTAATATAGACTGAAAGAAATGATTATATACTATATCATTTATATTCATATATAGTGTTTCGAATTTGCAATTAGTTGTATTAATAATTTAATTATTTATTACTATTTTATTAAATTACTTTGATAAATAAAAGCTTTTCTTCCCTATTCATTCAAAATCTATCAGTATAAAAGTTTAGTAAAGTAAAAAAATCACTCATTATACAATAACTTTAATCATGCATTAAATCAGTCTTATTGTTCTCTTGAAATCATGTCCATGAAACCAAATCAACCATGAAAATGTCCCAGTTTTTCAGATTTCAAAATTGCTTTTACATAAGGGACAATTCAAATATACTGTACATTATATGTGACAATGTCGCAAAATGTATAATTTTTTATGTATAGGAGGACCTGAAGAAGTAGATATTTCTAATAGCAAGTATTATTTAATACTAGCATTTCAAATGACCATTGTAAAAGCATTGGATACAAGGATGTTAGCTAACTAAAAATCCCACATTAAGATCTTACATGAAGAAAATAGAAAGACATGTTTTGAATGTGCTATGATCACTCAATAGATTGAAGCATAGCATACAGTTTTTATCCTCAGTCCAATATTCAAAGCCAATCTTTAACAAAAATTGTAGACCCTCAAAAGCAAAGGCATTATATAAAAAGAGTGGTACAACAATCATCTATAATAGTGTTTTTCAAAAATCTTTTTAAATAGGGTCCTCTTTTATAAATTTAATTAAATATTTTAATAAATTTATAATTAAATATTCTTTCAAAAATTCAATATTCTGTGGACTACCTTACTTATCACCTTCAAAAACTTTCTTAGCAAAAAATCAAAATCAATCAAAAAATTACATAGACAGGTTTAATTCATTTTATTTTGAAAATACATCTGAAAGATATACCAGTCTATGAGAATGCTAAGCTAAAACAATTCTACCTTTAGGAAAGATCAACGTTTCAAAGTCATATGTGTGGCATCCTTTAAGAACGATGCCACAGACATGACTTTCTCCATTTACAAAGTTACGTAAATGAGTTAGTTACATGATTGAAAAGTAAGGTTAAATGCTTAACTGCTGAAATACAGATATCATTAATATGTTACATGAAAATACATTTTACATATTTCATGTATAAATGCCAATAAAGGAAATAATAAGGATTTAATTCTGAAAAAGCAACTGAACAAAATGACAAAAACTGAATTTATGTTTTTGTTAACAAATATCTGCTAAAAAGAGCACAAATTGAATTTTGGAAGTAATAAACTTCCAAAAATATAGGTACAGAACTATATTGCATACTCTGGGTATTATAAATAAGATTCATTTAAAAATATACAACAAAAAACAAGACTTAAATATCATCTAAATCAAAATCAAAGTTATCTTGTGTCAAAGAACTGCAAAATATCTTCCTAAATACTGATTGAGATGATTTTCTAGCTGAAATACTAGGCTTTGGACTATGACTTGCTATCACAGAAGGCGTAATTAAAGTCTTTTTATTGTCTTTATGAAGATTTGCCATTTGAAAATTTGATAAATTAGATTTATTATTAATTGGTTCAATTGTATTCAATGCCTGATTTTTAGCTCCAGATTTAATCTCATTTAGGAAAGAAGGTTTCTGAAAATTTTCTTTTTGCTCTGAATTGTTAGTTGCCATCTTAGGAATGCCAACACATGCAACTAAAGAATCTGATGACATTCCTATACCTGAAGATGAATTAGAAATTTCATTACAGGGATCCAAATCAGTAGATTTTCTCTTCCTTCCTATTGAGTTATTCAATCTTAAATCTTTTTTAGTGATTTTATCTTTTTCGACCACAACTGATTTAGAAGATTGTAAACTTTCATAACACAAATTAGCATGGACAGAATGAATATTTTCACATGCTGGTTTATCTTTCAAACATTCAAATGTATTTGGGCCTAATAAAGTTTTGGAATTTTTCTTGAATGCAAATTTTTTAAAGATATTTATTTTTTCTTTTTTTGTTGATATTAATGTATCGCAAGGTAAATTTTCGTCCAACTGGTTAGACATCATAGAATCAGCTTCAAAAGAGCTGTTTGCTAATTTATCACAAGCATTAATTTGATTGGATGAATTTAAATTAAACATATTTTTTTCATTAGTTTCTCTAAAATTTGTTACTTTCAAAGAAATATTTTTAGCATTTACATGCACATGATCATCTTGAAAATGGCCAACTTCTAAATTAGATGCTTCAAGATCACCATCATAAAAATTATTTAAATCTGATAAAGTGGAAATTTCATTTCTCAGTTGCTCTGAATTCTGTGCCACACCTGTATTTTTATGCAGATTCTTACATTCTTTACCATTTTCAAGAGTAAATAAAGCTTTATTCTCTTTTATTTTATCCAAGAGTGATGAATTATACACATTCTCATTAAGATTTTTTGTTTCTTGCTCAACTGTACTATGTAATCCATCACCTTTTAATAATTTAATACTTTCAAAATTAAAATCAGCATTTCCAGATCTGTCAATATCACCATTGTCAAAATAAGCTGAACAACTTTCATTGTAAATTCCCATGCCTTTAATTAAGTCCTCTTCATTATTTCTATCAAACAAATAAGATAATTTTGTTGAATTGAAAACTGAAGAAATTTTCAGTAACAATCTTTTTACATTAAAGTCTTGGTAAAATTGTTTGTAATTCTTTGAAATACTCAGTAATTCATCTAGTTGTAAAATTCTCAAGATTGTCCTAGCTAGAAAGGAAAGTAAAAAAAAAAAAAATTATATATATATTAATAAATATTTATATAATAATATAACTACATTTTTTTTCTTTAAAACATGCAAGCAAGTCAAAAAGACAAATTTAAATACAAAAGGGACATTTAATAAGCCTAACACAATAGTACAAGATGAATATCTAATTATTTTATCAATTAGCTACGTTAATTCCTCTTGACTTCGAAGCACTTAGCACAGTAATCTATTAATCGTAGAATTCTAATAGGAAGAAAAAAAAAATGTAACCTTCACTTCACCTAAATGGCTTCAGATGATCATCATCACTGTAATATGAATAGTGCAAATACTTATTCAGTTTCTGAAACAAAACAAAAAGAGTCAGATCTGATGAATGTGGTGTATGAGAGAAAAGCTGAAATCCAGATCGCTGGAAAGCATCATCATGCAAAAACAACACTTTTCTTCTGATGTTTTTCATGGTATTTACGATTTGTTGAAGTCAAGTTAGCATAACAAACATCTGTTATTGTGGTTTGTGACATATAATTAATAGGCAATGATTCTTCTTCATCCCAAAACTCTACCAGCACTTTTTGGGTTCTAAATTTCAGGGATCAAGGAAATTCACTATAATTTTATACAACGCTTTCTGTTTCTGGGGTTAAGCCCTATTCATGGTGTTACCTATGAAGACTAAGCCATCTTCAGTTTTGGAATTAACTTTCTTTGTATTTATCTGGAGCATATGTTTGACATACCCTGCTTTTTATTCAGGATTTTGAGATGTACTTGTCTTTATCCCTCAAATTTAACACATTTTTTCCTGAGGTCACATGCACACTATGTATGTCTAGGATAATCAAGTAGTAATTTCTTACCTAAATAATAGCCATCTGAAAAATGCACTCATCTATATTCCTCAAATTTAGCACACATATTTTTAGTAATCACATCCCCATTATAACATAGTCTAGGATTATCTTTGAGTGATCTCACATGTTTAACCAGTTAACTGTGGTGCCCTCATTTAAGAGTGTGCACCGTTTCGTGTCACCAGAATCGAGCCATTAGAAGTATATTCGTCAATCACAGAATAAGTTGCGCTGGTAAGATATTTGATGAAAAAGATGGGTTTATTTTATAAAATTGCAAATTTTATTACTAATACTAGCGGGCAAGCCCGCCAGCTGAGCGGGCTGAAGCCCGCTATTTATTGTTCCTGTGTATAAGAGTTTCTAATGTAATTTAGCGGGTATTGGAAATTTGAAACGAACTACCAGTGTCCAGCGGTTTCGCGCTGTCTTCACCCGCTTTATTAAAGTTTGCATTGAGAATATACTGCATACACGATACACATGCGTAAAATCACGAAACCACCCATGCAGCCAGCCCGCAAATTTTCGGGATTCGAAAGTTGGAACGAACTAACAGTGTCCAGCGGTTAACTCATGCAGCCAGCCTGCTCGCCGGAACTCGTAAGTTGGACCGAACTACCAGTGTTTAGTTTTCTTGCTCGGGCTGCGCCCGCTTTATTCACTTATGCATACAGAAGACATTGCATACACGATACACATGCGTAAAATCACAAAAACACCCGTGTAGCCTGCCTGCTCGCCGGGATTCGAAAGTTGGACCGAACTACCAGTGTTCATCGATTTTGGGCGGGAAGCGCCCGCTTTATGCACATATGTATCCAGAAGACACTGCATACACGATACACATGCGGAAAATCATGAAAACACCCACGCAACAGCCTGCTCTCCGGGACTCGTAAGCTGGAGCGAACTACCAGTGTTCAGCTTTCTTGGGCGGGCTGCGCCCGCTTTATTCATTTATGTATCTAGAAGACACTGCATACACGATACAGATGTGTAAAACCACAAAACACCCGTGTAACCTGCCTGCTCGCTGGGATTCGAAAGTTGGACCGAACTACCAGTGTTCAGCGGTTTTTAGCGGGCTGCGCCCTCTTTATTCATGTATGCATCCAGAAGATACTGAATATACTATATACATGCGGAAAATCACGAAAAAAACCCATGGAGGCAGCCCGTACGATTGGATTCGAAATTTGGTCCGAACTACCAGTGTTCTCCGCCCGCTTTATTCACGTATGCATCCACAAGATATTTCATAAAAGTTACACATGTGGAAAATCACGAAAATATTCATGCAGGCAGCCCATTCGCTGGTATTCGAAAGTTTGACCAAACTACCTTATTTGGTTGGCATATATCATACAAATTAACTAACAACTAAAAACGCAATAAATTAAATTAAATTAAATATTATACATATAAAAGTAAGAATTTAAACTCCTGCTGCGGAGTGATATTCAGCGAAGCAGGGTACTATACACAATGGGACTTTGCAAATCGAACACCAGTAACATGATTCCTTCCTGATCTTACGTTTGTAGCAATGTTTGACCTTCGCGTAGAGTTGGATTTTTCCGATGTTCCGGGTATATAATCCGGAACATGATTCCCGCCTAATTGGCTTATATTAGGTCTAAACGGCCGAGTTTGTGTCAATTTATTTTTTTCAACTGGATACATCGCAAAAATCTCTTCAATAAATTTTAGCAAAAAGTTGACATGCAATAATGTTCCATTATTTTTTTTATATAATATGAATTCATTCAGACACATAATGTCTACGAAATGGAGAAATATCTTTCTGTAGTACATTTTGAGTAATTTTCTTGCTATGGAGTATGCTACGATAATTCTATCACTCATATCCACTCCACCCATTTTTTTATTATAATCAATCACTAGCTCCGGTTTCTTTGTTATTATTTTTCTTTTCTTCTCTCTGTTTCTATTACGTTGTCATTTATGTACAGTACTTACTAAATAAACCTCCCTCTTATCTTTCCATTTCATTATATGCATGACGAGTATACTCGTCAATACACAAAATTGTGTCATTTTCCACGATGAGTATACTCGTCAATCACGGTTAACTGGTTAAACATGAGCCCTCACATTTTTATGAAATAGTGCTTTATCTGTGTTTTGCTTTTACTTTTAACTAAAATCCAATGCCTAAACAAAATCAATATTCTTTTAACATTTCAAATATCAGTTAATATTAATCGATAGTGCAGTCAAAAGTCTTCGAGATAGTACAGTCGGTGATTCCGAATTATAGATCATCAGTTTAATCTGGTAAGATGGCATGCAGAAATTATAAAATTAAAAATATGAAACCGTAATTTATGAAATAAAGAGCAATTATGATCTAAAGAGTATCAAAATTTACAAAAAAAAAAAAAAAAGCTTAATATTTATTTGTTTACTTTATTAAACATTTCTTTAAATGCGCGCATGCGTAAAGCATACATTACACATAGTCGAAATTAGAAAATTGCAACCAGAAAACTATTTGATGTGTATTTGTGATATTTATAATGACGAGGAATTTGATTTAAATCATCAAAGACGGAGTACATCGAGATGAAATACTACACTTAGTAAGGAATTATAAGCCGAATAAAATAAAAACATCTGCCTTGAAGATAAGGATAGTGCTGACAGATCAACTTCCAGTTCATTGCGTGTCACGACGTCCCCCTCCCCACAGAGCTGCGTGAAATTGATAAACAGATTTCGGAATGGTTACAGAATCAAAGAATATGCCTTTATCCATTTTTTGCTGCAATTCCACTTTTTGTTTGATGGACATCAAAACATGCTTTCACTTTGTAGATCCTTTGGTAGCTCCAGAAACGGAAATTCTTTTTGACATAATTGAAGTTCAAGCTTACTTTTATAAAATTGCTCTAACAGTCTGCAAAAAATAATAAGCCAAATCCAATTAGAAGATTAAGGAACAACACTATCTGCAGCATTAACTGAAATAGATAATTAGATAATTTTAGCTTAGCTTATACCGTCCGTTATACATTGAACGTGCATGCGTAAACGTATTATGCACACGCGCACAGGTATTAGGCGCATGCACAGAAAGTTTGTAGCTTTGAGGTCCGGATTATAGATCATTCCGGATAATGGACATCCGGATTAAAGACTTTTGACTGTATCAGGTTACCAAGAAAGTCCATGCAGTTTTTGAGAACAACTACTTTTGGCGTGTTAGCGTGGTCAAACTGATTCTGATGACACCATAAGTTTATATTCCTTTCAAACCTTATTCAGTACAGAATTGTTCAGTGTATCGCATGTTTTGCTATGGGATTTGTTGCAAATGCAATCTTTGAACGAACATGCCATTGGAAAAGAGATTTTAAGCCTATTTTGCTTTATGAGTACAAATTAAGAAACAAAACCACAGAGGATATTAGAAGAATACGTTACATCAGTGAGTGAATAGACTGCTCAAAAGTGGTTCTGCTGATTTTCTTCCAAAGACAAGCCTCATATCGCTTGTCCATCCACCCTCAACAAAATCCAGTTGGAGGAGGAAATCAAGCAGAATCCTCACCAAACTGCCAGAAGCTTGCACACAGATTTAGAGTATCTGATGAAAGCATTTGATCATATCTTCATAACCATGGGGTGATGTGGAAATTAAGCAAGTGGGTTCCTCATGTCCTGTCCAACGAAATTAAGCTCCAATGATTGAATATCTGCTTATCGTGTTATAATAAACCTGAACCAAGTCTTAACATATGATGAAAAATGGATCATGTGTGATGACTGGAAGAGGAAACATCATTAGTGGTCTCACTAGCCGCTAAAATGGACATTCACCAAAAGAAGGTAATGCTGTGTGTTTGGTGAACTAATGCTGGCACAATCCAATATGAATATCTAGAAAACGGGAAAACTATAACAGCCAATGTCTACTCATCAAAGCTGCAAAGAGTTTCAGCTGCACTGCACCAAAAGCAGCCAGCACTGGTCAACAGCAGAGGAGTTCTCCTCCTGCACATTAATGTCAAACGGCAAAAGCGACCAAAGAAGTGATCAAAACACTGGCCTGGGAAGTTCTGTCTCAGCCACCAAATTCCTTGGTCATCGCTTGATCGAAATATTACCTGTTTTTGGCTAGGAAACTGTAGAAACAGCATTTCTAAAAAAACGACAGACGACAAAAATTGTGATACAGACAAAGTCTGTATCACAATTTTTGGACTCCAGAAAAAACTTTTTTTTTTTTTTTTCTTTTTCAAAAAGAGCATTTATAAGCTTGTGTCTCATTGAGAACATATAACTGAACTCAATGGTGATTATTTTGAAGAATAAAATGAGCGTTTAAGATTTCTGTGGACCATTTTTGATAAGTGACAAAAACCCCACAAACTTTCCTGTTTCCTATAAAGCAATCTCTCAAATATCAAATAATAGTACCTAATAAATAGTACTTTGCATTTTGTACCTCCACAGGATGATGCAAGTATTTCACTACATTCCATCATCCAATAAGTAATACATCATGCTTAACTTTATGACAGTGAATGTCCCCTGTAATTAATAAAATTGCATTATATTAAAATATCTATTTAAACTGCATAATACCTTTGTCTTCAAATTCAGCTTCAGGGTTATTGGGAAATGTAGTATGAAGAGGACTCATTCCTTCAAGAATGGAAAAACTCAGCATTGAAGATTCCATTAAAATAATAGCATATACAGCATCAATGACTAAAACTTCATCACGAACATGAGCTTAGCATGTCCTAAAACACATGAAATCTTCAGTTAATCTCTAGTCCTGGAAGTAAAATACTTCTAAATTTACATTTTAATTAGATTTTATACTTAAATATTGATTCTAGATATTAATTTCTTGAAAATAAGATATATTCTAGATATTAATTTCTTGAAAGGTAAAAAATGTTTTTGAAAAACAAAAACGCTACTGGCAATGTTGTAGCTAGGGTGGGGCAAGGGGGAATATCTGTCCCCAGGCGCAGCATCTGGGGGAGCAAAATTGATGTTAAGAAATTTTAGAATGAAATGTTTTCACTCTTGGTGCACAAAAGGGGGTGCAAAATCTTCAGTTGTTCCTGGGTGCTGCAAACCCTAGCTCTGGCTACAGGCAGAAGAGTTATATAATTATAAGTTCTATCTTATGTAGACCCTATTTAGTAAAATATTAAGATAAAGTTTTGAAGAATTATGTTAATTCATATTTTCATAAGTATAAATATAATATAGACTGTTGCCTTAACCATAAAAATTTGTTTCAGAACATCCACCAATTTGGATTCAAAACTATGGATCTTTCATGTGTTTAACTTATCACAGCATAATAAGTAGTTATCTTTCATGTGTTTAACTTTATAACTAGCTAACAAAATGTAATTTTTGTTTTACATGGACCATATAAAAAGTGCCTCTTTAAACGGTATTTATTTTCAGCACTGAAACTATTTTTACATAATTCTGTACTTTTACTGAGCTCTGTAATTAAAGATGCATGTTACGGTCAATATTTAAGAAAGTAAAACCTGTAGCTTTTTTTTTCAAATACCATGTATGTATATATTATAAAATATAAGCAGTTATAGCTTATTGATAATAAAAACAATAAAGCACAAATATTTAAGTATAAAAATAAATTTATTGTTTTGTAATGTTTGAGAATTAATGTGCAATGAAATAGAATCAAGATTATTGAACATATTAGAAATTCCATTCATATTATGAATTATTAGTAAAATTGTTTCGGGCATTTTATTCAGTTGTCCAAATTACTACCAAGTAACAATTTTGAGGGCAACCTCATGCAGCTATGATCATAGCTATAAATTCAAACAATCTATATACATACCCATTGCCATAAATGTTTGCAGACCAAAAAAGAATTGGCAGAATTTGCTGAAATTTTATACACACGATAGCAATGATGATGTCATTATAAAACCGAACAAAAGATCATTTATTACAATTGAATGAAAGTTCTAGTACAGTATTGGACCACCATATGCAGTACACAATGGCATTCAGGCATACAGGTCCTGCAACATCTCATGCTACAGTTGCTGCAAGCACATCACTAGTTTGATTAACCTCTTAGGTTGTTCCAAGTTATCAGCAAGAAATCTGGGGATGGGACAAGCCAGGGAAGAGTGGTAATGTGGTGGAGGCATTCTTGTGGCAGTTTTGCTGTGTGTGGTATATTGAAAAATATCTCCTGGAAGTCTTGCCATGAATGGCAACACATGTGGCTGACGGATGTCACAAATGCAATGTTGGGCTATCATGGTGCCATGCATCATTATTAAAAGTGACTGGGTGTATGCAACCACAGCCCCTCCATCCATCAAATCAGCTGTGAAAGCAATGTGTTCCTTGCAAAGTGAAGGGAGGATTGAAGTGTTCCCATGGTAAAACAATTACTATATGTTAACCACATTGTTTTCTTTCATACATATTGTAATGTATTTTGTAGTATTTAACAAAATAACAAATGATCTTGTTAGTAAAACAAAAATTTTATTTTTAGTTTATGAAGATAGATAATTTGAGTGCAATTCTTTAGTTACAAATGTTCATACATCTACTAGCTGGTAAAACTTCAGATTAACAATTTTTAAACAATTTCTGAGCAATGGTTACATGATACAAATATAGTGTTGCCACTCCAATAATAAATATAGCTTTTTGTTAAATAATAAAATATTACCACCTCTCCAGATAAACTTTAATTTATATTTTTATAAATTAAAGTATTTATATATTTTTATAAATTACAACTTTTTTCCCAAAACACAATATCATCACAATAAAGAATTGAAATACAACAAATAACATAATAGCATACACTGAGAAAGAGAGGAAAGAATAAAATAATTTTTTATCTATATACAGAAACATATTATTTAATCAGGCCAAGGAGTACAACTTGATGCATCTACATTTTTATGGTTTTTACCACTTTGATGAATGACAATGTAATTGTAGCATTGTAATACTAGTGCCCATCTCATAACTCATGGATTTAGACTTGCATTATTTTTGAGTCAAACTAAGGGATTATGATCGGTCATGATGTGGAATTTAGTATGCCCGTCTAAACAACATTGCAGTTTCTTTACAGCGAATATTATGGTGGCACATTCCTTTTCTGTGGTAGAGTACTTTTTTTCAGTTTCTGTAAACTTCTTACTAAGGTATAATACTGTCTCGTTCATCTTTCTGAGCTAAAATGACACCTTAACAGTTTGAAGCATCCATTTGTAAAATAAATTGCTTATTGAAATCATGTGCATGTAGTATAGGCTTTTGAGACAATTTATTAGCTCTTCAAATGCCTTTGTAAACTCTTCTAACCAATTTATTTTCCCTTTCAAGGTTTCAGTTAAAGGTGCTGCTACAGATGCGAATATGGGAATGTAATGATTATAATATCCTGCTAATCCTAAAAATGCTGTGACTTGACTTTTTGTGGATGGTACGAGAAAAATCAAGAATAGCTTTGACTTCATTTGGCATTCTTATACCACAACCTACAATATGTCCTAGATATTTTACTCTATCTTGAGCAAATTTACATTTTATAGGTTTAATTGTCAAACCAGCGTCCTTTATTTTTTGTCAAAACAGCTTTCAGGTGACTTAGATGTTCTTCCCAGATGTTTGAAAAGATTGCCACGTCATCTAAATATGGAACAGCAAAGTTTTCACAACCGTGAAGGATTTCAGCCATCATTTTACTAATTGAAAATGGTGCATTTTTAAGGCATCCATAAAGGTCTAAATGTGACAAAACTTGTAACAAAAGAGGCTAATCTTTGGACATTAGGTGTTAAAGGTATTTGACAGTATCCCTTTGTTTAATCCATATTTTTTATAGCAAATTAAATTTAGTTTACTGAAGTATTCTAATTTTATGTTGAATAATTATTAATATGACATCTACATTGATATGGTCATGGGCTAATTACTCATAACATTGTTGTAGGCTTATTGTTATTGTTTTCGTGATAAGTTGGATAAAGAAACACAGAATTGTAATGAGTAAAGACATGTATAATATGCAGAAAATTTAACTTCAGTATATAATAACTAACAAATTATTGAAATGAATCCAACTAACATTTTATTTACATTTTAAATAAAAACATAACTTATAACAAGCATAATGACATTATGAAAATACTAATGAGATTTATGTAATTGAGATTTTTCCACTGACAATAGTTTGTAGTTGTGGACTAATTTTTACTTGTACCAATTATTAAAAGAGATTTAAGATGCTCATCAGGTTAATTTAGATCTGTAAACATTTTTTGTGTACTTCATGTTTGGAGAAGGTCTTCTCACACAAATAAGTAGTACCAAAAAAAACAGAAGAAAACAGCCCATGAGCAAATTTATGCAAATTATTAAATTGTGTCAGTGGAAGACTCTTATAAAAATTCCAATTCAAAGATGAGTTTTTGATATTTGTTCTTAATTATATCCACTGCACTGTAGAATCAATCAATTTCCATTTGAAGTTCTGGGGCTAGGGTTTCAATGTCAGTATCAAAAGGATTCTGAAAAATCTTAATTTGATTCGCAATGGCATCAAAGTCCGAGAAACGAGTATCAAAATTTATTTTCAAAGCACTCAAAGTTTCGATTGCAAAATCGATAGGAAACTCAGTCTTAGTGGTGTGGCTGAATATTTCACATGTTTTAAAATGTGAAAAACATTTACTTCGTAGTTGTGATTGAAACAGTATCAATTTCTTCCGGAATGATTTGATATTAGTGTATAAATCAGGAAGATGCTGGTTTTTTCCTTGCAATCTCAAATTCAGTTCGTTCGCATGTTTTTTTGTCAAATCAACATAGAATGCTAACTTCCACAGCCATGCGTTGTTTTGTAATTCAGTAGTAGAGGGTGATGCTTTTCATTCAAAAAAAAATTTCGATCATGCTCAAAAAAAGCGCTGCTGAAGGACTTTCCCACAACTAAGCCAACGTACGGCGGTATGATATAAGGTAAGTCATTTTCTCCAATCTCTTCAATAAATTGTCGGAATTGTCGGTGATTCAGCCCCAAAAGATCTGATAAAATTAACAGTTGATATGACTGGTTTCAGAACTTCAGACATATCCAAACATTTTCCGCACAAAGACTGTTGATGAATGATACAATGCAAGACTAATGGTTTTGAACCACCGTCATTTTCTACAGCCTTTGACACAAGAGCGACCACTCCTTTATCTTTCCCACTCATGTTTTTGCCTCCATCAGTTTGTAATACATTTCAAGTTTTTCCATCGAAGGTTCTTTTGATTAATGGCCATTTCAACTCCTTTAAAAATATCTGTACCAGTAGTTGTGCCATGAATACTATACATATCAAGAAGTTCTTCATGCACTTCATAGCTTTTATCTACTCCTCGAATATAAATCAACACCTGAGCAGTATCTGACACATCCGTTGACTCATCCAAGGCCAAAGAAAACCACTCAACATGTCCATTTTTGTCGAACAGTTGAGAGGATATATTTTCAGCGATGTTTTCTACCCTTCGAGCCACAGTGTTTGATGACATACTGACAGTTTTTAATAAATTTACCTTTTCAGGGCATATTTCTTTGGCTACTGCAATTATGCATTCTTTGATCATTTCTCCATTGGTGAATGGTTTTCCACGTTTTTGCAATTTCAAGAGCCACACGAAAGCTGGCACGAGTTGCAGCCTCTTGTTCAGTTTTGAGTTTTGTAAATGAAGA